TCTCTCTCTCTCTCTCTCTCTCTCTCTCTCTCTCAGTCTCTTATGTCTGACAAGTGAAAGCAATAGGATATGTACTGTATTCAAGTGGGTAAAGGGATGAGAAAATATAGAGTAAGGGAACGGAAATAGACATTAGTTGCTAGTTAATTGTCTTAAATGATTGGTAATAAAGTTATAAAAGTCTATATAAAAGTCAAATAAATCAAATAAATGGGAACTTAATTTTATAAAATAAAATAATATTTGTACCGGTAATGAAAGTGATTGTGTACTGTATTTTTCACATAGGAATTCTCATAAATTAAAATAACTTACTCAAAACAATAAATATATTTTTATTATAAATGCTTCAATAAAATATTCATTGAATTAAAATGACTTGATAATACGAAATTAGATTTGATCAAAGATTATAAAGCTAGGAAACAAATATGTTTTTCCATTCAATAATAATCCTTATGATAATTATACAGATATAGAGAAGCAATTGTTATAATGTTTGAAAAGCATAACAAATATGAATTGACACTAAATTCTTGTCTCTCTTATAATACGAGTAAAGATTAAACCAGTGATGAGCCGGTAAAGTATTATCGGTACCAAACGCATGGCCACCTCTGATATATACGGTATTATATAATATTGAACACAAAAATGTTATTTTTTGGTGATAATCACGCGTTGAATTAATAATACATTAGCATTGATATCGTATTATATGCCTAAACGAGTGCTCATACAAAAAATATATTATATTTTTCACTCAAAGTTTTGCATAATTTAAAAGCATTTTCACTAGAAATGTGTCCAAAAAACTCTCTCCGATATGACACCAATGATAATACTATGGGCTAATGAATGGGTTCAATGAATTGTGTACTCCCTGTGACATGACATGACAGGACAGACACTCAATACAATAGTGAGGTTCACGTGTCAGTGGAGCCGATGTTCACACATCACAGCCAGAGATCAAACGATTTCTGGGTTTGCATTGAGTTTCACAACTGTATCCCATAGTTGCCATTAAATGCAATCAATTTAATTGTATTCTCCGTTTTGTCAATTTATTTAAATTAATTTCCAAATTCTGTGTCAATATTTTGTGCAACTTTTTAAAAATTATAAATAAATTGAAAGCAATTGTTATCTCAATGCCCTAATGCTCTTAACTGCACTAAAAAGTGCAACAACATTGTTTCACTGATTATTGTTTAAAACACTTTTGATTAAAAATGTCTATTATTATGTTATTTATCAACAAGTAGAAAAAAGTGCAAAAAATATTAGTAATGTTTTACAGATTAATATTTAGTGCATTCATGCCTTATAGAAGCTATAATAATGATAAAACAGTTAATCTAGCTGAGATTTAGACATGGTTAAACAAAGAAATAATCAAGGTTATAACATTTATATAAATATAACTAAATTTAAATACAAATCATATTAACTTATGTATTGTAGTAGATTATAAAATTCAGTATAATAAATTATAATACATTATTAATGTATTTTAGAATCATTTTATTGTTGGTTATTATATCAATAGTGATGGCAAATATTGACCCTGGGACAAATGGGCGTAATTTTACAGGTAAAGTAGTTTTGGTGACCGGGAGTAGCTCTGGCATCGGAGAGGTCACCGCCAAAGAGTTCTCCAGATTAGGGGCTAGTGTTGTGATCACCGGTAGGAATGCCACAGAAATTAGTCGCGTGGCTAAAGAGGTTCAACAACTATCGCCGTATAAACTAAAGGTAATTAGAAAATCACAAAATAACTTAAAAATACAAATAATTGTCAACAAAAATGTGAAGCCTTTAGAAATTGTGGCCGATTTGGCGAAACCCGAAGACGTGAACCGATTGGTCAACGAAACCATCAAAACGTTTGGACAGTTAGATGTATTGGTCAATAATGCGGCCGTTTATTTGGCCTCAGCCATCGATGATAAAAATTTGACCGAGGTGTTTGACCAGACTATGGCGGTCAACCTACGGGCCCCCTTACAGCTCATACAACTGGCCCATCCCTACCTAAACGCCACCAATGGCTCCGTTATTAATATTGGTGCTATCAGTATGCCGAGTATTGTATGCAATCTACCTGTCACATATAAACTATCATATATTCATATTCATTATAATTGAATTGATAGGCCGTACGATCAATACCAAGCGGTGTGGCCAAAGTAGGTCTAGACTACTCGGTCAAAGTATTAGCCGTGGCGATGGGGCCCCGGGTTAGGATCAACGCCGTTGAGTAGGCATTCAAATGTGAATTATTTATTGTAATTTATATATAAAATATCATTTGTTTTGATTGAAGTCCCGGTCCTCTCGATAACATAAAAAAGGTAATGAGTCCCGAAGAACTGGCAGCTCTGGTCAAACAAATACCACTTCAAAGTCTGGGACAGCCTATAGATGTGGCCAATGGGGTCGTGTATTTGGCTTCAGATGAGGCACGGTATATAACGGGCACTAATATTGTCATTGATGGCGGATTGTCTAATATTTTATAAATATTTTTAATTACTATATTTAGCCGACATTTTCATTTAATTAAATGAAATGAAAACTTAAATTTAATTTATTTCTAACTACTGCATCAATATCTTGAATATAACTTACTCAATAAAAACATTCATTAAAATGTTTGAAAAATAATTTAATACTGTATCATATTTTTATGAAATACAAAAAAATCTAAAAAATAGTCTAAAATACTTTACTTTTATGTATGGCCACCCTAAAAATCTATACCGTTTTAATATTGGTCAGTAAGTCTGCCCCTATATAAACATTATCATTATAATAATAATAAATATTTTTATCAAAATAACTAAAAATGCATTTCTATTAGTAGTGTTTTGTATGACATAAACACCATTGAAATAGTGGTCATACCGGAGGACATACATCTAATATGGGATCGCGTGTCAGACACTGCACTCCAATGCTAGCGATTCTGTTGTGCACTTCACGCTCATTGTGTTGCCGTATAATAGACCCCAGAGCTAGGATTTTTAGGTATACCCAGTCGTATACTCTTGTACAGTAATATACCATTGACAGACACACTAATAAATTAATGTCTTATTCATGATTATTAAATTAAATTTATACATAAATACTGTCGCTATATTTTGAATACAACTTTGTAATCAAAATACAATTTTATATATAATTTTACAATAAATATGTTTTTAATAAATAAATTTAAAGTTAATTTTGCTATAATTAATAAATTATGACATCTTAAATAATGGCATACAATTGTTCTTTAAAATTGTACCAAAAACGGGTGATTTTGTTAAAAATCTTCTAATTCGGTAAAAGACCTGGGTAACTCTATAGTGCACTAAATAAATAGGGCAGCAAATCTAACTATGTTTATTGATTAATATTTAGTTGTACATTTACAAAACATCTATAATAATTAAGTAATACTGTATTAACATTCATATCGATATATGAAAATTGATTAATATCAAATAGTTGGAAAATAAATTAAAAATTATAGCTATTTTGGTACTGTATTATTAAATTCAAATAATATTTTTAATGCTATAATAATGTTATATAATTATCTAAAATAATTTATTATTTTAATGTTTTTTAACATATTAAAAATAATAATCCTGTTTTTATAATTATATCATTTTGCACTAAACAAATCTAAATGAACAAGTAGAAAAAAGTGCATACAGATAATGTTTTACAGATTAATATTTAGTGCATTCATGCTTTATAGAAGCTATAATAATGATAAATCAGTTAATCTAGCTGAGATTTAGACATGGTGTGTGTAATAAATGAGTGCAAACTTCACATTGAATGTGTTTATACAAATCAAAACTACAGTTATTTCTACAATTATATCATTTTGCACTCATTGCAAACACATTGAATGTGAAGTTTGCACTCATTTATTACACACTTCAAAGTGGTCTCAAATATCACTTTTACGGTCACTCTCTGCACACAAATGCCTAAATAGACCATAAGTACTGTGAGTTAAGACAGTGATTGCGCTGATGAAGGGAAGGGTAGAGACAATTACTGTCCGAAACAATAATTGCAATTTTGTCCGCATATAATACCGAAGACAATGATCAGTCAAATTGTGTCATAAATTGTAAGTTAAAAATAAAAGTTTCTTATTTTAATAAATGTTTATTGAAGAAGTTATATTCAAAATATTGATTCAGTAGTTAGAAATATTGTAAATTTAAATTTTCATTTCATTTAATTAAATGAAAATGTTGACTAAATTTAGTAATTATAAATATTTATGACATATTACTTAGTCCGCCGCTAATGACCAGATTAGTGCCCGTTATATACCGGGCGTCATCTGAAGCCAAATACACGACCCCATTGGCCACATCTATAGGCTGTCCCAGACTTTGAAGTGGTATTTGTTTGCCCATAGCTGCCAGTTCTTCGGGACTCGTTATACTTTTTAATCTTTCGTTTAGTATAAGACCGGGACTTCAATCAAAAACGAAATATATTTTGTATATAAATTACAATAAATAATTCACATTTGAATGCCTACTCAACGGTGTTGATCCTAACCCGGGGCCCTAACGCCACGGCTAATATTTTGACCGAGTAGTCTAGACCTGCTTTACTCACACCGGCTGGTATTGATCGTATGGCCTATCAATTCAGTTATAATCAATATGAATATAGTGTAGTTTATATGGGACAGGTAGATTGCATACAATACTCGGCACTCTGACAGCACCAATATTAATAACGGAGCCATTGGTGGCGTTTAGGTAGGGATGGGCCAGTTGTATGAGCTGTAAGGGGGCCCGTACGTTGACCGCCATAGTCCGGTCAAACGCCTCGATCAGGTTTTTATCATCGATGGCTGCGGCATAAAAAAAGGCCGCATTATTGACCAATACATCTAACTTTCCAAACGTTTCGATGGTTTCGTTGACCAATCGGTTCACGTCTTCGGGTTTCGCCAAATCGGCCACAATTTCTAAAGGCTTCACATTTTTGTTGACAATTATTTGTATTTTTAAGTTAATTTGTGATTTTCTAATTACCTTCAGTTTATACGGCGATAGTTGTTGAACCTCTTGAGCCACACGACTAATATCTGTGGCATTTCTACCGGTGATCACAACACTGGCCCCTAATCTGGAGAACTCTTTGGCGGTGACCTCTCCGATGCCAGAGCTACTCCCGGTCACCAAAACTACTTTACCTGTAAAATTACGACCATTTGTCCCAGGGTCAATATTTGCGGTCACTATTGATATAATAACCAACAATAAAATGCTTCTAAAATACATTATTTTAATTATAATTTATTATACTGTATTTTATAATCTACTACAATACACAAGTTAATATGATTTGTATTTAAATTTAGTCGTATTTATATAAATATTATAACCTTGATTATATCTTAGTTTAACCATGTCTAAATCTCAGCTAGATTAACTGTTTTATCATTATTATAGCTTCTATAAAGCATGAATGCACTAAATATTAATCTGTCAAACATTACTAATATTTTTTGCTCTTTTTTCTACTTGTTGATAAATAACATAATAATAGACATTTTTAATCAAAAGTGTTTTAAACAATAATCAGTGAAACAATTTTATTGCACTTTTTAGTGCAGTTAAGAGCATTAGGGCATTGTAATATAAGATAACAATTGCTTTCAATTTATTTATAATTTTTAAAAAGTTGCACAAAATATTGACACAGAATTTGCAAATTAATTTAAATAAATGGACAAAACGGAGAATACAATTAAATTGATTGCATTTAATGGCAACTATGGGATACAGTTGTGAAACTCAATACAAACCCAGAAATCGTTTGATCTCTGGCTGTGATGTGTGAACATCGGCTCCACTGACACGTGAACCTCACTATTGTATTGAGTGTCTGTCCTGTCATGTCATGTCACAGGGAGTACACAATTCATTG